GTTAGGATTAGGGTTTGGGAAGGGTTTTTTGGGGCGTAGAACATTTTTACTTAGAACACCTCACACCGATTAATTAGCCAGTTTTTGAGATAATGTATATATAGGTGTAAAACACCATAGGTGCGTTTTAGTAAAATTCTAAAAACATCAAAAAAAATATTTATAATGTAAGTTTTATAAAATCAAGCTATATTATACATTTAGAGAAAATTTACATCAAGTATAAATTTAATCATAGTTTTAGTAAATATATCATGTGCTGGACATTCGGATATATTCAAAGCGTGGAAAGAATGTAGCTTTCAGCTACACTCTGGGCAATAATAAAATTTAAATTCGTATATGTTCAATTTCACGTGATTATTCACTTAAAGAGAATATGTACATAGAGAAGTTGATATAGCCATATCAAAAATAGGGTGATGAAATATAAGTACATTTTATTTTTTTTAGAGGCAAAAATAAGAACCTCAAATGTTGATTAAATTTAAATTATAACTTATCATTGTTTTAATAATAACTATTAAAAAAAATTTAATCATTTTAATATTCCCAAACTGGTACTCCAGAAACAACATCTTTTGGTTTTAAAGTTTTTCCAATAAGAGCTTGGGATAATAAATCATGTTCTTCTTGGATATGTTGTTTTTTGTTTCCTGTTGCAGGAGAAGCTGAAGGTGGACGAGTTGCCGGTATAGAAGCTTTGCCTGTGTTTACATTCAATTAAATTTTATTGTTAATAGTTATGCATTTAAAAAACGATGATAATGTTGAAAGAATTATAAACCTTTATTATGTTCAGTGCTATTCATAAGAGTACGAATTCTAGGCGCTACATAACCCCATGCTCCCGAATTCAAAGGTTCTTCTTGAGCCCATACAAGCTGTGCATTTGGATACTTGTCAACATGCTGTGCTAACAAGTCATACGGGAATGGGGACAGTTGTTCAATCCTAGAAATTGCCACATGATCCATCTTGTTTTGTTCACGAGCTCTTAAAAGAGTATAATATACTTGTCCAGAGCATAAGACATGACGAGTGATTTTCTCCGGTGCGGCAAGCGTGTCTGGATGTGGTTCTGGTATATATCGAGCAAAATAAGTTTCACCAATCATTTCATCAAGTTTAGAACGAGCCATAGGGTGTCTAAGAAGAGCCTTTGACGTGAAAACTATAAGCTATAAAAATTTGCAAAATATAAAATATAAATTCATTGAAAAATAGAAGAATTAACATAACCTTAATATATATAAGGAAAATGAGACTTTGCGCTTTCAATTATATAACGTTATTGATAACCTCTAAAATTTTTGATCAGCGATATATTATACACAATTGAAGTTCAATTTTGTTCATTACATTATATATTGAAAGCCCAAAGTCTCAATTTCCCTTAGTTGCATACATATAAATTACTTACTGGCTTTCTGAAGTCACGGTGAATTTGTCTCCGTAAAACGTGGAAATAATTTGCTGGTGTTGTACAATATACTACTTGCATATTACAGTCTTGGTGTTGACGTGCCATTTTTTCCGGAGTGGGAAAAACATATGGATGATCATCACAAAGTTGAAGGAATCGTTCAAGACGTCCGCTTGAATGTTCAGGACCTTGTCCATCATAACCATGAGGTAGTAAGATTACCAAACCGGTACGCTGAAGCCATTTCTTTTCGCCAGCTGCAATGAATTGATCAATAATGCACTGCGCATTATTGCAAAAATCACCAAATTGTCCTTCCCACAATATAAGAGAATTTGGATTTACGAGAGAGTATCCAAGTTCAAAACCAAGGGCACCAAATTCTGATAAGGAAGAATTACATACTACAAATGGAGCTTGACCGTGACGTAAATGATTTAATGGTGTATATTGAGTTTCATTTTCTTGATCATGAAGAACAGAATGACGTTGTGAGAAAGTGCCACGTTCTACATCTTGACCAGATAGACGGATATGTTTTCCTTCAAGAAGTAATGATCCAAAAGCAAGACCCTCGGCAGTGGGCCAGTCGATATTTTCACCACTTTCTGTGGATTTAGCACGAACTTTGAATATTTTATCAAGACCAGGGTGTATATTGAATTTTTTTGGATAAGAACTAATAACATCACCGACATGTTGAAGTGATTCAAGAGAAGAACCAGTTGAATAAACAGGAGTAATTTTTTCAGCAATTTCTTTGGGTGATTTGAAACCTTTCATCAAATCAAATGTTAACAAATAAGCACTTAATAATAGTCAATAAACAATAACAATAATAAAATTATAATACCGTGCCAAGAACTAGAAAGCCATTCACGACTAGTTGGCACATAATCTTTGCTCTTATTATAACTTTCTTCTAATGTATCCCATACCCACTGCTTATGTTTATTAATTTGATCAATTGTGAATGTACCTTCATTTAAAAGTTTTTCGATATAAATTTCAAGTGTTGAATTTTGTTTAGCAATTTGTTTATACATTCTTGGCTGTGTGAAGCTAGGTTGATCAACTTCATTATGACCGTGTTTACGATAACAAACTAAATCTATAACAACATCCTTTTTGAAAGTTTGTCTCCAATCAGAAGCCAATTGGCATACAAAAGTTACAGCCTCAGCGTCATCTCCATTCACATGAAAAATAGGAGCATTAACTACTTTCGCTATATCAGTACAATACGGTGTTGAACGTGCAAATCGGGGATCAGTAGTAAATCCTATTTGATTATTTATAACTATATGGATAGTACCCCCAGTTGTATAGTATGGTAAATCATGAAAACCCATTGTTTCATATACTACACCCTGTGCAGCGAATGATGCATCACCATGGAGTAAAACAGCCATAGAACGATGTCGTTCTTTTTCATCACCTGTGTAATGTTGTAGAGCACGAACTTTGCCCAATACAACAGGATTCACAGCTTCCAAATGAGATGGATTAGCAGCGAGAGAAAGGTGTACACGTTTTCCGGATGGTGTTGGTCTGTCATAATTCATACCTAAGTGATATTTGACGTCACCCGAACCTTCACCAGAAGAATTTGCAGACCCACCAAATTCACAAAATATAGACTCATTCGGTTTTCGAACTACATTACTAAGCACATTTAATCGACCACGATGAGCCATTCCAAGCACAATTGATTCTATTCCAAGATCAACAGATCGATCAATCTAATAATTCCAATAAATAAAATAAATAAAATAAATATAAAAATAATATTTAATAATCGAAATTAGTTTAACATTACCAAAGCTTTCATGCCAGGAATTAAAATTTCACATCCTTCCAAACCAAATCTTTTTTCAGTTGGATATTTTGAAGCTACAAATTTTTCGAATGAATTTGACCATATTAATCTGTCAAGAATCATGCGTTTTTCTTCGGTTGTATAGTTATATGGTATTGGAATTTCTACTCGAGTACGAATCCAATCACACTGAACTCGATAAGGAATGTGAATATATTCAATACCAATCGGACCACCTGATCAGAGAGTTTCATCAGCAATTTTCAAATTTAAATGCCTAAATATATATTGTATCTAAGATGCCTCTTTATGTCAGATAATACTTGATCTAATGATCTCTCAAGCCAAATATTATAAAATGTTACAACCTTAAGTAAAGTCGTTTCCTGGATATTGAAATGTATCGGTTTAAATTTTTATAGATTCAAAAAATTTTTTCATAAAATGTTAAAATGAATCAAAAAAAAATTTTTTCGAAAATTTTAATTTCGAAAAATTTAAAATTTTTTTTTTTTTTTTAATACTATACATTTCAATATCCCGAGAATAATCTTTCTAGAGATCATATAGATCAATTATCGCTAAATGGTTGAAAATGGAAAATAATTTTTTTTTTTTTTGGCGTACACTCGTACACTCCTTAGCACGTTGATTGAAGATCGATGCCAGATTTTGTGTAATTGTTCAGAACAATTACATAAATTGGGTATCGATCTTAAATCAACGTGCTAAGGTAATCGAGTATACGAATGTATAAGTGTACGAGTGTACGCCAAAAAAAAAAAGAAGTTTGTTTTCCATTTTCAACCATTTAGAAAACAGCGATAATATAATTGTTATACTTACAGTAAATTTGTTTACAATATTCAATAATTTCTCGAAGAGTCTTTTTTTCACCGCCTTGAGCAAATTGAGGTAATATTCCAGGTCCTAATGAAAATTGCTTATTAAGATCTTCTTTTGAGAATCCATAATGCATCGGATCAAGTTCTTTTGAAAATTTAGAATCAGCATTCATAATGGCTAGAGGATCCAATTTTGCAAGATGATGTCCACGAACTTGATAAGCTCTTACTAAAAGTTGTACCTTCATATGATCATTTATTCCATAAGTGCCTCCTGGTGTGACCGAAATGGGAGCTCCACTTGGCACAATTGTTGGAGGAGGTTGATAGGCATGACGAGGATTCACACCAGCATGGATATTTTTGAAATACACTTGCCAGGATAAATGAACGGAATTAGGATTTTTTAGCCATTCTTCGTACATTTCTTCAATGCTTGCAGCACTGCCTTGAAGAAATACATCGCTGGGTGATGGTGGTGTTATCGATGGCTGAGACTTTAAACTAGTAACTTTACTACGAGTAGAGCTCGCGCTAATAAAACTAAGAGCCGGATAACGAAAATTAGAGGTTAAATGAGTTTGGGTTAGTTTATGGCGTAGAAGAGTAAAGCCTAGTTGAGTAGTTCGGTAAAAAGTAGATGAAAACATTTTGGTATACATACTTTGGGAAACACACGATACTAATATTTTTTTTTAAGTTGCATACTCGGAAACTAGATTAGGATTTGTGTACACTAAATGCTATTACCCTGTACAGCATTTTTAGTGTTACAAGATATTATTTGTAATGAACAAAATACGAGTATTAAGGTCCATAGTTTCCATAGCTTCCATAGCTTCTAAAATCTTTGCTATTACTAGTACTTCATACATGAAAACTTGAAACTCTAAGATTGCTTGGGAACCGATTGACTTTTAATCATCCACTTTAAGTAGATCATGTGCAATTCTTTTATGCTTTAAACATATGAAATAAGAATCGATTTTAGATTTGTAATAGCATCCTGATTTCGTTAAAGTTATTATATTTAAGTTCGTCCAAATCAATGATAAGTAACCGATAATTATACCTATAGTTTCATGTAAGTTGCCAAAATCTAAATGCTATTACAGTTAACAAATCTAGAAATCTAGGTTGCCCTCAAACTTGTTTGGATTGGTGGATATAATCTACAGTCAGACCTCTCTAAATGCAACCTCCCTAAATGCACGCTCTATGAAAAGCCTCCATAAATGCATGTTTTCTCTTGGGCCCAATTGATATAACACGTATAGATTTAAATGCACGTTTGACTCAATTTTTGCATATAGTCCCGCCGCAATGCATTTAGAGAGGTCTGACTGTATCGATATTAAAAATCCAAATTTTTTACGTGTAAAAGTTGGGTTTGTGATTCATCTCAAAAAAAAAAAATACAAATTAGGACAAACCTTAACTAATAAAATTAATCAAGATCTATTTAAAGATCAAAGAGGTTTTAGTTTGAATCTCTCATTTGTGATCATGTATTTTGGTGACGCATTTTAAATTTAAAAATGTTATAGCACTTTAATTTTCTGTAGCCTTTTTTTTTTTTTTTTTTTTTTTTTTTACTCTATATAGTTTCAACAGAATGGTAACTTTCTATGATCATCGACGTAGTTAATCAATAATAATGGGAACTTGATGTGTTTCCATACCTTTTGATTTGATGAATTTTTTAAAACTTTGATTAAAGATATCTCAACATCCATCCAATAAAACTCAACGAATTGTTTCTTTTATTTTATTCTTAGGCCAGACCAATTAAATTCTGTTTTACATTACCCCCCCCCTCATAGTAAAAAAAATAAAATAAAATCCGTATATATAACACAATAACCCCCCAGGAGATAGAGGGGGGTTATGTAAAACACAGAATTTAATTGGTCTGGCATTAGAAGTTGGTAGAATTCAATTAAAAAAAAAAAAGTTTATCGAATTAGCTAGATGGATGTTGAGACGTTCTTGATCAAAGTTTTGAGAATTTTTAAAGTATCTATCAAATAGAAGTCACATTTGTTTACTTTGAACATTCACCTATCAAATTCCCTACTCAAATTCGATGAAACATTGTAAAAAAGGTTTATTAGATGGGTATCAAGATATTTTCATAGGATATTTTTAAAGGTTAAAAGAAAATTTACATTATATGGTGTGGTATTATTAAAATTTGTTTTTTATATAAAAATATATTCTGTATAAATTTGAATATCATTTACTTTGTACTACTGTTACAAGAATAGGTTTTAAAATCCCAAACCAAAAAAAAATTCGACATGTTGAATGGCACCACTCAGCTGCATTCAACACGCCATTCAATGTTTGTCGGAATTTTGATTTTGACTAGTGCCAATAATAGTAAAATAGTACGTTCAGCTATCCTACTTTCTCTTTATAGGAAGACATTCATATTTCGTAAAATCAATTCACGATAGCCAGCCGTTTAGCCGCTTAGCCGGCTGACTACTAATCTAGATTGGGTATCCTTATGTTAAGAGAAGATCTGAAATTATTGGTGCGAATCTAATAAATTAGATATTGTAAAAAAAATGAAATTTTAGTAAGATACGTACGTACGTACGTACAATTTTTTTTAATGTTAAGCATACTATGTATAGACTAGGGTGTCTGGCATGCAAAAAAAAATTTGGCATGCCTTTTGTCAAAATTTGTGCCATGGCATGCTATAAAATATTGTATTATTAATAATCATAATACTATAAGTCTAATATATAGTATAGATACTATAAATATAGTTTTTTATACTATACCCAGTGGCATGCCAAAAACAAATTTGGCATGCCACCATTGGCATGCCTTTGCCACTATGCCAGACACCTTAGTATAGACCCAAGCACAGGTTTTTTTCGTAGTTTTACCAGCCGCCTTTGCGTCGAAAGTGCGTCAGGAGTAACCCGGGTTTACATTAGGAGAGTCCAATTATGTTATATAATTGGAAATTTTACTTTGTCCATAATTTCAGAAGCGGAAAACTTGCGGACACAACATTTCACGTGACTTATAGACACAACTCGGTTTGAGTTAGGGTTAGAGTTAACGTTAAGGTAAGAGTATTTTAGTAAGGCCGGTCATTATTGTGCTCATAAGCACATAAGCACGTGAAATGTTGTGCCCGTAGCAATCTCCATTTCAGAACCAACCAACCTTTCTGCCCCTGTCACATGGGGAAGTGATGGAGATTTTCCCGAATGACCATAGTTCTACCGGTAGATGCTAAGTACATGAGTAATAACTAATAATAAAGCTTATGATGATTTAAAATTTAATTTATTAGCAGCCACTTTGCATACCGGTAATATTAACCCAACGGTATCTACCAGTAGATACCGGTAGATACCGAGTGCATCTATTTGGGGGACGTCTAAAGCCGGAAAATCTATGGACAGTTCTTAGGGACAGTATGGACAGTAAAATTCACATGATACTACTAAAAACCAATAACCCT